GTGAAAAGTTATGCCACCAAAGTTATCCTTTTTAAAATTAGTGAAAATAGTGAAAAGAAAGTGGATAACCATGGTGAAATGTTTTATGAAATTCAATGGCCATTGTAATGTGTTACATGAAATTGGGTGGCCACGGTGAAATAAAATCAAATTGGATGACTATGGTGACAATAAGTATAAATTTGGATGACCATGATAAAACAAAATTAAATTTGGTGACTACGACGACACTAAATATAAAGTTGGGTAGTCATCGATGAATTTAACCCTTTAAATAAATGAATGTGACTGACATGTAAGTTTCTGATAAAAAATGGGAATTATTTTAAGTTTCTGATAAAAGTTCGTGTTGATGCCATTGCAACTCCTCCAGTTAGTGATTTGATCCAAACAGAGAAAAGTAGACGGCAGAGGCGGAGACAGACTAAAAAGTTTAACTGTTAAAAGAGAGAGAGAGAGAGAGAGAATGAGTCAGAGAAAATCCATTAGCGGAAGGCCATCGGGAACCGACGGCTCTGATTTCTCCTACCGCATGGTCGTCGACTCTAGTATGCTTTCCTTCTCCTTTCTTTTGATTTTCTCCCTGTATTAGGATTTTATTGATTGGATTGCTTAATTTCTAATTTTGGGATTTTTTGGCTCTAAGGATATCAAAAGGTTGCTCAAGGCAAATCCCGTCTCTCAGCTCTGATTTTCACTCAGGTATACTTGATTAATTACAATTTCTCAGCCAAAAAGATCTATTTTTATAAATGTTTCTCTATAATTAACTTGTGATAAAAAACCATAGGATACTTGGGGGAGAGAATTGAAGAGAAAATAAGATGGGAAATTGCTAAGGGAGATTAAACAATAGCAAAGAAATACTATTTTATTCCCTTTTGTTTTTTTCTAATTTTGTGAAGTAAATTATTTTAGAAATTGGTTTAGATAAGTTGGTTTTTACCAACTTTGACCAATTATTTTAGATGGACCCGTTTGTAGATAGCAGGAGTTTGAATGCCGAACTTGTTCTACTTTGTGATGTGATTATCGTAGTTATTTAGTTTCTCAAATCAATTTTGGGTGAACGAGAAATTAAGGTCCAAAGTTATCCTATTGGACTTGATAATTTTTGGAATTAGAATATGATGGAATATTCGATTAACCCGAATGAGAAATATGGTGTAATATTCTAGAATCTATTAGATTGAAAAGTCGTGTCTTTTGGATGAATAATCATGACTTTTGGATTTGTCGTTTTCCAACAACTCTTTCTTTTCATTTAGGGACAAATTGCAATGCTCTGTCCTTTTTAACAATCGTTTCTTTTCTTCAAGTTGTTTCTAGATATAATGCTCTGTCCTTTTTAAGTTTTGTTCGATTTTCTACATATAAAAGGTAAGTAGTCGGAATATAATTTTTGCACAAATTGTACCAACAATTATTATGAAAAATCAGAGTTCATAGTTCACGAATTTAGCTGTTGTCACTAACATCCTCCTCTGTTGGCTATAAAATTGTTCAAGCGATATTATATCGTCATATGCGGCTGGCCATACTCCATTCTATTATCAAGTGGTAGTGCCCTAATAAATATGTAAAATTCAGCAAATAACACTTTTTTCTTCTTTCTTACTCGCTGAGCTGTATCGACTGACCTTATTAGTGCTGAGTAAATTCTGAACTAGAGTGCTAAATAACTTCCTGGGTAATAGTAAAGTCTGAAACTAAAATATATTCTGATTGTGGTCGTTATATTAAATGGTTTTCGTTTTGATCTACGTTTTTCGTAATTTGTTGCAGGCTTTCATTCGAATTCTGGAAGCAGCAATTCTATTTTTGTCTACTCCAAAGGGGGAACCTCTTAATAGATTTTGTGTTTCTTCTAGCATTATTAGCTTCATCTCTCTCTTCATAGGAGAATTAGGTATGCAATTACCATCCCTATTTACATATATAATTGTTTTTGGCAAATAGTGGGACTAGAGAAATATTTTTTATTTAATTTTTATTTTGCAGGTCGAAAGCGCAGCCGTAGTACCTTGCTGAAGCTGTATTTGTTTGGGTCATCAATTGCTACTGTGATCTCAGTGGCTTCTCTCATCAAGAGTGAAAAACTATTTGAGGTAAAATAATTCAGAGTTTTCTTCAATCATGTGCATGTTTGGCTCATATTATAATATCATTATAATTTGAAGTCAAAATCAAACAGAAATTTTAATCACACGTTCACAATTACTACGCACTTATTAATCCTCACATTTCGTGGGACCCACTACTCCTTTTCATTATAATTTCTCCCAAACAAGCACCATATTCTTTTGTTATTGATGGGGGTATTAATTGTAGTTCTAGAATACGAGGTTTTTGATCTCACTGTGAGTTAGAATGAGGAAGACGATGTTAGTTATTATACAAAAGGGAAGCACCATTCTTCAAGTTTCTAAATGAATAATCTGTTCAAATTGAAAATTGTTCCTAGAAGAAGTGAAAAACAACGGGAACGTTGAAGTGTGGAGAGGTTTCTTTTTTGAGTTAAGACTTGTTGCTAGAGATAAATGTTCTTTTAGGGTTTTGGACTATTTACATATTTCCCACGTGGTTGAATCTGGAAGGGTTCAAACTGCAAGAACATTTATTATCCCATTGAACCTTCTCCATATTGATTCCATTACATTAATGCGAATCCTTACGGATAAATTACACTTATTTAAAGCTGGAGACTGTTTTGATCCTACTTCCTCTCACTCTGTACATCTTAGGTTAGTCTTGGCTTTAAATGAACTGTGAGATGTTTACATTTTTCTGATACATTAATTTGCATTGTAGAATTAAATGAACTGTGTGATGTATACATTTTCCTGATACATTAATTTGCTTTTTGGTGTTTGGTTTCTCTTATGCTATGTGGCCCATGTGAAAGGTTGTTAAGCTGAGAAAACTTATCCCATGATGGGGATTATTTTCATTTCAATTACTATTTAAAATTTAAAAAGGGTTTGAGTTAAATTACTTCACTCATTTTATAGAATGTGTTAACAATAAAAAGAAAGATAAAAATTATCTATTTAATGTGGAGTTGGAGTTGCAGCAACTTTTATGAATTCAGGCTGATATACGCATTGCTGAGTGTTATTTAAGCTGGTTGAGCCTTACATTTTTTCTTTAGGATTCCTATGATTTTTTTTTTTTTGATAGGTGGATTCCTATGATTTTATTATCAAATGTATAGTGATCTTTTCAGTAGTTCCTAAATGTGTGTACATAATCCATAGGTCTTATTTTTGGTTTATGTGTGTAGTTTGCTCGTCTAGGAAGGGTGCTTATTGATGGAGAATAATCTATAGCAGTTAAAGATTCTATATCTTTTACTTTCCAAGTTCGAGTTCTAGCCCCTTGTTCAGTAGGATTTTTTTTGGATATATAAATGTACTTGTCGAGTCTCATAATTTTATAGAGTTGATCAGTATGACCGATATTGTATTGTGCGATTTTGCCTAACCCTTGTAAGGGTAAAGCTCCCAGGCATCGTACTGAGTCCCTATTTGATGGCTATTATTTGAGAAAAACAATGTTTTGAATAGTAGTTTTTAGGAGATTGTGTGGTTAAAAAGTGGGAAAAGTTTTGAGTTTATGTGCACCATATTTCATTGTGTGAATATGTGGTTGAAAATGAATAGGTAGAAAAACAGTTTTTAAATAATGGCCATCAAGATACCGGCAGGGGCGGATCCAGCACTTGGCGAGCCGGGGCGGTCGCCCGTGCTGGATCCACCGGGAAAAAAAAATTAAATAAGATTTATGAAAAGTAATTATATATATATAAGTAATTGTATAACTTTTATTGAAATGTTGTGTATATCAATTGGAAGAGAGGGCGCCTTTACATGTGGAAGACTTGGGTTCGATTCCTTTCAACAACATTTTCTCTTTTAATTTTTGAACACGGTAAATAATGACTAAATTTTAACTAATAATTGTATCAATGTTCAACAAAAAGAAGGGTAGCCCATATGGTAAATGAGTCATTTTGTGCACTAGAGGTAAAGAGTTCAATTCTTTACTTTTCTACTTTTTGTTTAATTTTTCATTACAATAAATAATAACTAAACAATTATTTATTATTAGTTTTCGTTTTCGAAA